CGCCCCACCCCCCGCCGAGTGGGAAATGCCCAAGGGGAGCCTCCCATTCACGAAGCAGACTCTGGCGCCTGGGGATAGTTCATGCTCCTCTGACTGGCACCAGCCAGTGCGGCCCGACATACAGGGGACTCACCATGGGCTTTGAGAACAGCAGCGGCGCCGGAGCACTACGTCCCTGGTGGGCAAGCCGCTCTCCCTGGGCTGTGCAGGGCAGGCTGCACAGAGCGATCCGGGGCCGGGCAAGGGTCAGTCCGGGTCACTGCAGCAAGGGACCATGCTGCGAGCCAGGTGCCTTTGGTCATATCTCCGCCTGCCTTGTGCTTACTAGTGACCCCTCCGACCAGAGCAGGCACCCTTGGCCAAGGAGTTTGCAGGAGTGTGTGTGGAGGGGTAGCGCACATTAACAAATGGGACAGGGGACTCACCATGGGCTTTGAGAACAGCAGCGGCGCCGGAGCACTACGTCCCTGGTGGGCAAGCCGCTCTCCCTGGGCTGTGCAGGGCAGGCTGCACAGAGCGATCCGGGGCCGGGCAAGGGTCAGTCCGGGTCACTGCAGCAAGGGACCATGCTGCGAGCCAGGTGCCTTTGGTCATATCTCCGCCTGCCTTGTGCTTACTAGTGACCCCTCCGACCAGAGCAGGCACCCTTGGCCAAGGAGTTTGCAGGAGTGTGTGTGGAGGGGTAGCGCACATTAACAAATGGGGGGCAACTCTTCCCCTTTTCTCTACCTCAGTGCTGGTTGTGGAGGGAGGGGAGAGCTGCAGCCTTGGTGGGGCTGGGAATAAGGAAGGCCCTGCCGAGGCCAGGATGCTTCACACAGAGGTTCCTAGGCTGCGGGGAGGGGAGAGCTACTTTGCAGCCCGATCTAGTTGGTCTGGTGGCGAGAAGCCGCTGGAGGAAGCCTCACCGGCCCCGGCTCAGAGATTGGGAGGCGGAGGGGGAGGGAAGAGAGGTGCCCCTGGCCTTGCCCTTTGTTTCCCGACTGTGTCCACGTGCACTTTCACCCCTCCCCCAGAGCGCTCCGACATTTCCGCATGTGCTGGGAGGAGGGGACATGAGGGTTTGGCGTGCAGAGGGAAAGGAGACGGTGTTCGGTCAGTGGGGGGAAGTGGGAGAGGGGAGCGGACTGGGTCTGGTGGGAAGGGAAGAGAGGGCGCAGGGTGGATCAGGTGAGGGACAGAAGGGGGGAAGACTGCATCTGGTCACTGGGAGGTGGGGGGTCGAGTTTGCCTGGGAGGGGAGAGGAGGTGGAAACTGAGTTTGGTGAGTGGGGGTCAGGATGTGTGTGAGTGTGAGTGTGAGTGTGAGTGTGAGTGTGAGTGTGAGTGTGAGTGTGAGTGTGAGTGTGAGTGTGAGTGTGAGTGTGAGTGTGAGTGTGAGTGTGAGTGTGAGTGTGAGTGTGAGTGTGAGTGTGAGTGTGAGTGTGAGTGTGAGTGTGAGTGTGAGTGTGAGTGTGAGTGTGAGTGTGAGTGTGAGTGTGAGTGTGAGTGTGAGTGTGAGTGTGAGTGTGAGTGTGAGTGTGAGTGTGAGTGTGAGTGAGAGAGAGAAGCGGAGACAAGACGTAGGCTGGATTTGACTAGAAGGCATGATAGGAGTCAAAGAGCTGCAAGGTGAAAGGGGTGCTTTCCTCCTCGGTGCCTGTCCTGCAGCAGCGTGTGGGGGGGTGGACAAATTTTTTTTGCTTGGGGCAGTAAAAAGCCTAGAGCTGGCCCTGCACACCGGCCCTGCACACAATGCACGTGTGGCCCCACCCCGAGACACCCGGCACACACGCAACCCCACCCTCAGGCACCCGGCAGCCCCAAAAAGTTGGGGACCACTGATCTAGACAGTGCTTGGTCCTGCTGTGAGGGAAGGGGACTGGTCTTGATGATCTCTTGAGGTCCTTCCAGTTCTAGTGTTCTATGATTCTAAGTTGGCCACAGCAGTTCTCCCACTGACAGTGCTGTGCACACAAGTGCTTATGGTGGTGTTTCTTACGTCCCATGGAGTTGTTTATTCACAGGCCTTAAACTTGTTTATTCACAGCAACTTAAACTATGTTGACAAACTGTACTGTAGAAATAGCCCAAGATACCCACACTGCTCCTTTTAGGCCTCCCAAACTAGTTACTAGGTTTCCCACAGACACACACACTTTATATTCACATGATGTGATCACATCAACACCTTTGAATTCCTCTACCAGCTGATTCCATCCCATTGAAAATGAAAACTATTTATCTTCAGCTTTACATTCCTACAGAATTCCATTCTGGCCTACATGTATAATTTTACTGTGTGTTCTTCTCCACAATTCATGAGTTGTATTTATTGGTCACCTCCACCTCTCCCATTTCAGTTCTTCTGCTTGTTTAACAATTGCTTCTGGTTATGCACAAGATGCCTTCCTTATTCTGGAATTTTAAGCAACCATTCTCCCCACCGCCTCTAATCTGTCCGGTAGTACACACTCTCCAAACCTCAGTTTTTGCTATCATTTCTGAAATTTGTTACCATGGCTATCGTGAAATTTAATTACTGTTAGTGAACCAGTCAAATTAGGACTCTTGTAACACTAGACACAAATAATTAGTCTGCCATTAGTCTATACAGGCAGTCCCTGACTTACGCGGATCCGACTTGTGTCGGATCCGCACTTACGAATGGGGCTTTTCTCGCCCCGGAGCTCGCAGGCGGCGGGACCGCCCCCCCCTCCCCCAGCAGACCAGGCTTTTGTTGCGGGACACCTGGGGTAGAGCAGCTGGGGTGCTGCCGGGTTGGTCCTGCGGGGACCTACCC